CGCTCCCTCCTCACCCCACATCCCTGCTCACAGGCCCCCATAGACTAATCCCCAATCCAGTACAAGGCACGGGGCTCAGCCCGCTCCAAACCCATCCGCCTCTCAGAGCGTTTTGAATGCTGTGCCAAGCCCCAAAGCCCTGCAGCATCGCTGCTCTTACCTGAGATGCTCGTGCAGTGAAGGGACGAGGAAGGAATGAGGCTTTCCGGGACAGGAGCGCTTTTATACCCTCTCTGTGCGCCCCATCTGGAAATGACGCACCTCCCTGTTGCAGAGGTCTGCCTGTTCATTTAATTTGTCGATGGCTTTTTTTTTTTTGCCTCCCCACTCTTCAGGTTGCTTGCATGATTCACCTCATATGCATCAGTATCACCTCTTGTTATGGTTGTCTTTCCTGTGCCTCAGAAATATTTAATTGCCGGCTCTACCTGTGCTTAGCTCCAATGGGGGAGTAGTGTGGGTGGCCTTGGTTTCCACAGCTTTGGCAGTTTGGTTTTGGTATTGATCACAGCTGGGGAGTGCTTTGTGTTTAGAGGGGGGAATAATGTCATATATGTAAATCACACCAACCTTTTAAAAGGTCTTGAGCTGCCCTAGTCCTGCAAATGCCCATAAACCCAGAGATGCACCTATAAGTACCAATAACACCTTTGGCACGGCAGACAACTCTTCCTGAGCAATTTCACTGGTACCACTGTTGGCTTGTTTCTCTTAAAACCAGCTGAAATACGGTGGAGTGGTGAAGAGAGAGAAAAGACAGTCCCTATAAAACTTTTTAGTCCATCAAAAGTTTCTTGCTGTTGCGAGAAGGACCAAAAGCAGTTGGGATTCTTATTTTTGGAAGGGGAAAGACCTGCCCTAGGTAGTGATCCAGGATTAGCAAGGTGCATAATTATGTGGTTAACCTTCAGCCCGTGAGTAATGCTGGAGCGGCAGCACTGATGGTTTTTTTCCAGGTTGTGAGTGGCTTCGATGCTGCCACGCGGAGGAGAAGGGCTCACATGGGTGCTGCCTTCGGTGACGCACAGTGGCCTGGGGTGGCTGCTGCACTGCGGGGAGCTGGCAGACCCCCGGGACTTTCTCCAAACTTGTAGGAACATTCTTTTTGGAGTACTTTTCCCTGCTCCCAAATTGGCTTGTAACTGGCCAACAAATCCGAGTGTTATTTGGACGAATGCGCAGACCCACGTGAGCCTTCAGGCCAGGCCAGGTACCACGTCTGCAGTGAGAGCTAATTGCAAGCAATAATTTGAGATATTCCCTGTACCTTTCCTGTACCTCTGCTGCGTGGGCTAGGAAGTGCTCAGGACCATGGATCTGGCCCTTTTCTGCCACAACTTGTGAAAGACATTTCAGTAATTAAACAGGCAGCAAATAAAAGACTGAAATCATTATTGCTAGCTGAAATAGGGAACTGCTATGATTTTGTCAGTGCAAAAGTGCTTGGAAAACACTGGCTGAAAAATATTTCACTTGCTGGCAGAGATGCTCAAGCATTTGGTATTTTTGATCCACCTCTCCTACTTTTTATTTTTCTTTCTCCATGCTGATTAAGTTTTTATGCTATTCCCAGACGCTGACCACAGTGAGATGGAGGCTTAGCCCCATCCCACCTTTGCTAATGCTGTTTGAGAGACCCAGCATCCTTTGGGAAGCAGCTGGAAAACTAAACAAGCTGCCAGGCACCGAGGTGCCTCTCCAGCCTCTTGTGAGCTCCTGCTTTGAACGCAGGTGCCTGAACCTTTGTTGAGGCACTGCAAACCCGGAGCCGTTCCCACAACCCGAAAAACTTTTTGCCACATTTGCTTTTACTGAAACACGGAGGATTTTTGGAAAGGCAGGTGGAGAGGGCAGGGTTAATGAACCAGGTACGCAACCTAAATGCTTCTTTTGTATTGCTTAATTGCTATTATGAACTAGAAAAGTGTCAGGGCAAACTGTACCCAGGTTTGATCACTTCTGTTTAATTATGTTTTGTTCTGGCATCAGAAGAAATATGGTAAATACTCTCTGTGAAAAAAGACTCAAAGTAATTTTTGGCTCTCACACTGTATTCAGCTCCTCATGTTTTAATTGTTCTGAGTTTGTTAAAGATCAGCAGCACCCAGCCAGCAGTCCTGGGCACCTCTAGATTTTGTGGCTGTCCACCTTAATAATCCTTGAAAATGGGGTTTGCAATGGGGGCTTAAGGCAAATGCCAGACTCGCACAACCAGCCTTTTCAAATGATTCCCACACCGAAAGCAGGCAGCCTGTTCAGGGAGTTAGCTGCTGTCTGCACCCTTTTCAGCAATGCCAGATATTTCTGATCATTGTGACACACTTGAGAATAATCTTATCAGGGCAACATCCATTTCATGAATGGCAGTACCAAACCAATAAATTACACAATTCATTTTAATTACAAGCTGAGAAGAAATTTATCAGTTCATTGTGTAACGCTAGCATCTTGCAATGGTTCTGGCTCGACCCAGGGCTCTTGAAGAAAGGCTTGCTGGGGGGTTCGTCACAAGCACGTGGAGATACCTGCCCCAAAAATGGCACCTTGGGGCCAGATGGCAAAAAAAAAGGGGTTTCTGCCCCCTCAGGGGTGCCTTTGCCTATAGGACTTTTTCTGCCCCATGGTTGTGTACAGAGCTGGCCCCGAGGGCTTGTGCAATGCAGCCTGTGGGGTCTTGGTGGGGGGTTTTGGGTCTCCAGCTCTGTGGGAAGGCGGCATGGAGGAGAGCTACCTGCACTGCAGAGGCCTGAGATGGCTTCTCAAAATGTCAGCATTTAAAAATCTTTATTCTCTCTCTTTTTCTTTGGATCCCATAGGGCAGAGTGTGGCAGTGCCTGCCCCTGTTGCTTGTGTCTGGGCAGGGTAACTTCTGGGCCATTAAACGAGCACCAGGTGTCTTGTATTGTGATATGAAATACACGGTGAAAGAAAAATCACGAACACACAACTCTCATGAAGTCTGAATTGTCATGGCTTGTATATAGTTACAGACTAATACAGAGAAAACCGCACCAGCATGAACGTACACAGTTTATTTTAACACCCACAGATAAGCTCATGAGAGGTACAGGACTCACCAGGGGAGGGAGAGGAGACATTTTCCTTGAAGACTGCTAGGAGACATGTAAAACTTGCTGAACTCATTACAAGATCAAGGACATGCATGCATATAACATGCAGATAATGACCTGATCACTTCATCTTTGAGGATACTTGGTAAATTTGCTGCTGGCAATCCTGTGGCTTTCCATGGCAGGATCCCTCACCGCTCCCATGGCATCCAGATCCAGCACTGCTCCCGTGGCATCCAGATCCACCGCTGCTCCTGTGGCATCCAGATCCTCTGGTCCTGTGGCAACTGGATCTGCTGCTGCTCCCGTGGCACCCAGATCCACCACTGCTCCTGTGGCATCCAGATCCACCGCTGCTCCCATGGCATCTGGATCCTCTGGTCCCATGGCAACTGGGTCTGCCGCTGCTCCCGTGACAACTGGATCCGCTGCTGCTCCCGTGGCATCCTTCACTGCTGTGGCATGAGGATTGTTCTTGCCGGTGGCACTGGTCTTTGTCCTGGTAGGAGCACATCTTTGCAGACCTGCTGGAAAGACTATAGTCTTTGAGTGAGTGCAAAGGCAAGAGACACTGTGACGTCTGTCAGCCAGCAGTAACAGATGTCTCGGTAGACAGGATTATTTATCAAGAATAAATTCTCATTATAAGCCAGGTTCTTGAAGAAGAGAGAAAAATTAGCAATGCACGTCTGCCCGTAGCGGTCCCTGACCTGTACAGAGGACTCTGTGCCACCTTCCTTTGAGCAACTCTTTCCTTTTGCTTCTATGTTTAGCAAATATATAAGATAGAAGTTAAAGCACTTAGTGATTCATAAGAAGTGGTGGCCAGACAGAGTCCAGAGCTAGACCTGAAGAGTCCTGTCCTCAGCTGTCTGAATTAAGAAGTTTTAAGTTTTCTAGTTGCTTTCTATTATTTATGTAGAGATATGAATGGAGAAGACAACCTAGGCAGGACTGAACAACTGTGACCAGAGAGAGCCACAGAGATGAGACATGTAAGAGAAGTGGTCAAGACCTCAGGATCAGGACAAAGCTAGTGATCATTAAAAGTGCAAAAGTTTGATCAAGCCGGACTTACCCCGTTCAGCAG